TGCACTCTACGCCTTTTTTATCACACAAACAAGCCTTTTCATGACCCAATTTTCATAAATTTTCAATTCTTCATTCACTAAAACTTTCGTATTGAAATTTCAATGTACTTTAATTACTTAATCCATTATATCCTTTCTGTTCATCAAGTAATTAAGAATGTAATGCATTACTTCTTTATATCTATGAACTTAATACCTTTTGTTCATGCGCATTCGCAGCAGAACAATATTGCTTAACGCCAACATACTTGATATATGCACCAGTGCGAAAATTTTACCAGTTTTTATAAATTTTCATGATAAACGCTTCACAAACTTCACCAAAATCGTCTACCGTTGACATGAATTCAATCCATAACAAAAAAGTTTCAAACCAACAAATATATTCACCAAATCAAACAAGGTAATCTGCGTACATGTAGCACTCTTCGCACTTTCTGATGCTCACTCGCTTTCGTTCATCGTTGTAATTCTTATTACAAGCTTTCGTAGGGTTTCGCTGCTCGTGGACGCCCTCCTCCTTCAGTTCATCGAGCTCTGTTTGTTTCTCAGTAGAAGTCTGCACAAGGAAGGAACTTTTTTTACAAATATACTGGCACATTGACTGAGTTTTGTTGCCATATATGTATTGGTGTGCCCCAACCGCCATAATTAATGATAATAGTCTTTTACCCATATACCCTTTAATTGGTTTCTAAATGTAAATTTGCGTTTTTTTAATTCTGCACGCACGCATCATGTGCGTTTTTTAATTGTCCAAATCTCTAATCTGAGCAACACGTTTAGAATAATGGACGGGCAGATGTCATTATTTTTTCTCTCCTGAGAGCCCTATCTCACAGTCACCCTCCCATATATATATATATATATATATATATATATATATATATATATATATATATATATATATATATATATATATATATATATATATATATATATATATATATATATATATGTGTGTGTGTGTGTGTGTGTGTGTGTGTGTGTGTGTGTGTGTGTGTACATATATAGTAATGATGCTGTTAGGTAGTCCTGACCGAAAGCCCCGTCTGAACTTGTCCGTTTGAGGGCCTTACCGGTAAATTTTTTTATGCAATTTTTTGAGCATGTTTTTTAATCAAGTCTAGTTTATGTGCAAAAAATAGGACTATCATGTTTTTATTCCTTAAATAGGAGTAATTACTGTCCAGCTTAAAAACTACTTTCATGTTTAAAGTCTGTTACTACCAAAAATGATAATAATTACTCCTATTTAGAGAATAAAAACATGATAGTCCTATTTCGGACAATTTGTCCCATAATTATCACTTAGAGGAATCATCATCATCATTATTACTCGAATGCCGCAAAGGTTCTCACCTAAAATGGAGTAAGGGGGGATCGGATGTACGCAGTCTTACCCCTGTACTAAAGCATAGAGAGACTGTTTCCGAATGATCCATAGTGAAAATCGTGTTGTAGGAAATTTATAATGCAAAATATTAAAACTCATCATCATTAAAGTTTTGATGAGAAAAATATTAGTGCATATTAGATCTGTTTTGATGAGTTTCTTTATCTTACAAATCAAGCATAAACAAATGAATTTGACGTTAGAAACCTCAAAACAAAGGTCATATACACAATTTTGATCAGACAAAATAACCAAAACTTGAAAAAACTTGACAATAATTACTTCTATTTTCAGAAAAAAAAACATGAAAATAGTATTTTGAAATTCTCATACCTTTTTATTCCTATTTCGAAAATTTTCCCTTTTTTGAGTACAAGACGCGGAGAAAGGTGTTTGAAAGCCCAACTGCTAGATAAATCTAGACTATAATGGCCCATTTGAGTTACTTGGAAAGCCCATATACTCGAAACTCCCAATAGAAGACCCGGCTGGTTTATACGAAAACTCGGCTCTGTTCTGTTTTCATTTTCACAGTTGTTGCTTCAATTCTTCCATTGCAGACCTAGCGAACCTACACTGATCATTTAGCATGACGATGGACGAATCAGCGTAGTAATTGGAGTACGTGTGATGAAAATGGTGGCAATATTGGCTTTTTACCGGTTCTAGCGACGCTCTGTTCTGAATTTGCTGCGCATTGGACCAGTCGCAGAACTTGCGTTGCCGTTGCTGGTTCAGATTACTGCGTGAATGCGTGATTTCATGTGTACTGACTAGTGACTACAATAATCTTACTCGAGATAGCTCCAAAATCAACAAACTGGAAGCTTTCATCTTTTGTTACCCTTTTACCTTTTTGTTTTCTCTGTTGAGCTAGGATTGTTTCGTTTCTGCAAGTTTTTCATTTAACAGTTTCCTATCAATTTTCTGTTGTTTCTGTTATGGTTCACGATTAGCTTTTTGTTTATATCGTCTGAGAATCTGCTCATCTGCTATGTGAGATTATTAAAAGTATCCTGATCCCATACAGCGTTTATGGTCTGCATATCTCTTCAAGATGCCCTTTTACCTTCCATGTGTAAAAAACAATCGAACACTTCAAATTCTTCCTTCAAATCTCCTTCTCTTTATTTGATTTGTTATATTTTCATCATCTACCAGTGTCTTACAGATTAGTGTTTAATTAGTATAATACCATAGCATGAGAAATGCAGTGCAGCTTCTCAAATTGGATCTCGGATTCTGGCCTTGGTTGTGACCTTCAGCTGCATTGGCAGACGATTGAATCTGTTTTCTTCAATATTCGCACGTTCAAGCCTTCTGCGGAATAGTATCTAAATGAGGGCTTTGAATTCTCCGATGAAGACGAAGATGATGCACAGTCGAGGACTACAATATCTTTTTTATATAAAGGAAATAGGAGAAATGTCAGTAACTTGAAGAGGTGCGAAAGGACTAAGGACTGGTGCAGACCAAGGCTCGGGTTGGGAAGCGATTTGAAGGGGTGGGAAACAACCGGTAAAGACTGGGAGTAGGCTTGGGAAGCAATGGGTGAACCATAATGGTCTATGGTTGGAGCAACGGGTGAACCATAAGGGTCTATGGTTGGAGCGAGAGACGAAATTTTGAGCCAGCTAAACAGGGAGGGCTTGGATAGCAGTGACTCGTTGTAGGTAAAATGGTGAAGTAGCCTTTTTATAGTGTTTTAGTCTTAAAAAGAGAACAGTTAAAATGTTCACCTACTTTTGGAATACACATAGCTAGAGATCCTAGTTTAGGCAATTCCCCTATTAACGAGGGATTAACTTGTACAAAGACTAAAGTATTCCTACTTATAAAGTCCAGTAAAATAAAAAGTGAGTGAATGACAACAAGAAAAGGGTCATTTTTGCCCTAACAACTGAATGAATCTTTCTCCCACAAGGATAAAATGCATAGGTGCAGTGCACCCACCAACAGTTTTCCCTTGGATTTGTAATGGAGAGAAGCTATAATTCCTCCCAAACAAACACCTCATAAGCCTTTCAGTTTGTAAGATTTACCCAGAGGCTAAGGCTTATGTCACTCATATGTCTATTATTTAAGGAAAGGGATGTGTTCACATACAATGTGGTTGGTTCATATGAGAGGGTTGGGTATAGCTCACAAGGTTCAGGTTCAACCTTCAATATGCCTTTCTTGGATAATCAGTTACAAGTCTCCTAGCCCACTTTGCTTCCTTCCCAGGTGTGGTACCTACTTTTTGTTTATCTATCTATTTACACTTTATGAAAAAGGAATGGCATTTGATGCCTAACAAAGATAACTTTACCTATTCAGGATGCTGTTACTACTTACTCCACTTTATGGGTTAGATGCTATTGATTTGGTAAACTCTTTCGTTGCATCAGCAACTGAAAGGGATATATGTACTTTTAGTCTCTCATATTCCTGTTTTTAGTTACCAATCATCTTAGGGTCACCTCAGTAAATGACAGAAATAGCTGAAATGCTGAATAATGGGAAAGTTAATATTGTTTTGTTGATAAGAAAAATATTCTAAAACTGCTGGCTACCACATGGGGCCAAATTCTTTTGTACTTGGTAGATATCTTAGTTGTGTTTTCTTGATTATATCGTTTAGGTCGTGTACGGTGACAAGTTGAAGATGTTGATACTGAATGGTGATGGCATTAGATGTGAAGAAATGGAGCTTAAGAAAGACTGATTGTTGTTTAACTGATGTTTAAATTCGATGTAATTTAATTTGAATCCGATTGCTTTCATGTTTGAGGTCTTGTGAATTATGTGACTGGTACTCTACCATATAATGGGAATCAAATCAAACGAGCATAAGTGAGGCTTGTTTAAGGAGTCAGATGCTAAATGAAGAGGATTTGAATGAAGAGAACTGAATTTGATAAAATGGTGGGGAACCTCCTCTCACTTGGTTTCGTTAAGCAAAAATTAAAATAAATCCCAAAAAGACAAATGTAGCCAACATTTTAATACAGAGGGAGTAATTTCATTTTATGTTACTAAGATAAAAAAAAATATATGGATAAGATTAGACCATATATTCTCTTTGAAAATCTTACCATGATCAATATATCCATTGTAAACTAAAAGGTTGTTATACTCGCTATAGTAATTGCATATGTGATCTGTGTGCATATGCAGTGGCGGACCCACTAAGGGTCCCGGAACCCCGTGCACCTCCGAAAAAAAAACCTATATATATTATATATATATTATTTAAAATTAATGTTTCAATGTATATTGACACACAAAGTCATTTTAAAACCACAAGAATATAGTAGTCGAACGAGAGCAGGTGCGGATGCCAAGTGTTTATGTTGCGAGAGGTTATGTGTTTGAATCCTGTTGGTGTTTTTTTTTCGGCGTTTTTTTTGTCTTGAACAGAAGGCACGGCCCAGCCTATGTTTTATTTTGGAACTTAGGCCCAAAACAAAAGACCCGGCACCCAGCCCCCCTCTTTTCTTTTCACGCTCGATTGCTCGAAGCACGGCAAAATCCCCCAAGGCCCTAACTGCGAGTCTACGACGATTTGCGAACCCTCCCTAAGCTCCCTCCACGGCTCCACCTGCGATCGGCCGACGACCACCGGCGAGGCGGCATACACACCCCTCCCTCCACGCCACCTGATTACGTGAAGGTACTCTTCCCTTCTCTTCTCCGTTATTGGCGTTTCTCAAGTTTTTGGGTCCGATTTTCTTTATGCTCAAAACTTACGGATTTCAATTTCTAAGTTTTTTAACTGCTTTTCTTTGGTACTTTGCATATCTTTTTTTTAATGTTAGATTAAATTAATAAATTCATGTATTTATAAATGTTATTTTCAATTTCATACAATTTAGGATGAAAAGATATTTTGATGTTGTACCCAAATTTAAAGAAACTCAAAGTATCGGGAGAAGTTCAGGTGTTAATTCAAATGATTCGCCATTAATAATTGAAGAATTGGATCAAGCAATTGGTGAAAGTGAAGCTAATTTGGCTTATAATCTACCTGAACAACCTGAGGATTTTGAATCTTTGGAAGCGGATCTTGGATTAAGAAAAAGAATTGCTTTTCACCCTAATGTTCAAGATGAGGTACGTCGTAGTTACATTAAAAAAGGGCCGTTTCAACCTCGGGATCATGATTTTCGTTGTAAGGTAATTGGAGCCAAAAAGCGTAGATTTGTTTCAAGTAGGGACTCCTTGGCTCCGACTTTCTGCTTCCGCCACTGTGCATATGCATCAAAGGTTGTATTTTTATCCATTAATCAAGTTCTAGTCATTTTTATTTTTATTTCATAAACTTTCGTGCTTTTATGTTGTTAGAGATTTAAAAAACATTGATACGAAAGATTAAGTAGGAGTGACAATATGGTCCAATTCATCAAAAGATATTTTTTGGTTTTTGCTTTATTGGTAGGATATTATCTGATATGTTTGTTTGTTCTGGCAAGGTATTCATGTGTCCTTGTAATACCACTTTCACGTGAATTTATTCATTTAAAATTTTGTCTTGTGATTAATAAGCTTAAATGAATTAAAGGCTTAATCGTTCACCAAAACATGTTAAGAGTATTCCGACAGATATGACATAGGTAGTATTATGTTGGGTTTCTTTTAATGTAAATAAGTTATGAGTTTAAAAATCATCACATGAATGCACTTAGCTAAGGAATAAATAATAGCTAAAAACGCAATTAGATTTTAAATCCTTAAAATTATCAATATGATTGTCTAAATGACTTTTCTCTACCCATGTCAAATCTATATATACGTGTATCAGTCAGTGTATGTATAGGATTCGAACTGTTTAAGATGTGGGAAGTTCAGTTCAAAATATCCATAACTAATTTCCATTTTAAGGATGTTTCACCGAAGTTCACCAATCGATGAATAAGGTCATACAGTCCCGATTTTAAAGATGGTTCACCTATAATCTTTGACTTTCACCTTTTGTTAATAATCATCTCGTTGAAAATGAGTTGAATGTGATTAGAAGTTAGCCTTAGATTATGTGGGCAAACTTTTTAAATATATTGTACTCCGGATTACCCGTTCTAGCCCCTCTCTTTCTTTTTACGCATTTTATACATCATTCACTATCTCTACTATTTATCCTTATATTTTGTGTAAAAATTTAATGTCTCAAACAAGTATATATTGAGAGAGTATTGAACAAATTTAAATTTCTAGGCACCTTATTGATACTTTTCTCCTTTTATTTCCCTACATACTTTTGAATCTTAGTTTCAATAGATTTTGGGGTCGGCTATGAACCGATACATAATATATTTGTATTTCGATTCATGACATATGATGTGAGTATGTGACAAAGTGATGTCTTTGGTCATCACACGCCTATTAGAGTATCATCCTCCTTTTTTCTAGCTTGGAACATGCACGATACTAAAATAGATCCCATAGCAAAGTTTTGAAATTTTAAACAAATGAACAAAAAATAAGATCACTAGAGAACTGTCCACAAAATGATACTAAAAGCCCGTTTGGTAATATATTTTTTCGGCTTATCAGGCTTATCAACCAATTTTTTCATCAAACACGTAACTTTTAAGTTCACGTGCTACATTGTGTAATAATAAGAAGAAAACAAAATTGAAGAGACTTTTATGGCTATATTGGTTGCAGTGGCGGACCCACCAAGGGTCTCACGGGGTCCTGGGACCACATGAAGTATAAATTAATAATACAATGTATATGTAAGCCGAAAGCTAATTGAGGGCATGAAGTTGACAATTGAGCAATGGAAACGTGCTTGAATTTAAAGGTATTTTCTTCGCGGAGGTGCAGAGGTCAATTCCCTTAGACATCACTTTTGTTTTCCCTCTACTTATTAGGGAAAACAACTTTTTTTGGCAAGGGATAACAACATAAATAGTGTGATTTACCGAAAAGATAAAATGGGATAATCTTAGCGGGACGGAGGGAGTAATTCATAAAAAACTGGTATCAAAATATAAAGTTAGTAAGCGTATTTCCGAATATTATTTATTGGTTTGATATTAGTTTTAATGTCTTAAATTAGTGGATTGTTTAAAAAAGTGACTGCATTTTATTTTTGTTCTACACTCCATTTTAAAAAAGTGACCCTATTTCTAAAGTATGTATTATTATTTGTTCATCGAAGATAGTTTGTATTATTTAAAGTTATTTTCCCTATTAATTATTTTAAGGTGTCATAAATAACAGTTCGTTTAGAAAATTATTGGAATAAACATACTATAATTATAGGATATTTTTTTTCTATATGTGACATAAATATTATTTTTCTAAACGAACGATTATTAATTTTCTAAATGAACGGTTATTTATGTCACTTCATTTTCTAAACGACCTTAGTTTTATATTAATTTGAGATTATAGATATAAAAGGGTAGGGACCCCGTGGTTTCGACTTTCTGAGTCCGCCACTGATTAGTTGAAATTACTGTAGATGACTATTTTAGATATTTTTCATGTTATTGTTTCTTACTTTTTTAATAAATTATATTTTAAATACTCCGTATAATTTTTTCATAAATCAGTAGAATCAGCGAATCCAGGTATTTCAACTAGAATTTCATAAATTTCAACAGAATCAACCGCTTCAGTGTTAACAAAAAGGGGTCTAATTATTTGATGACTGTTTTTTAAGTGAAACGCTTCGCTATTTGACAAAATCAGTATCAACAGAATTGCTATTATATCTGACTTTTTCATAAATCAGAATCACTATAAATAAAAATATGGACCCTTACTTTAACCCCATGTAATCCATTGAAAAGTGCCTTTTCTTGCCAATCTTTGTTATCAAGCCTTCACAATGCATTATGTATGCAATTCTTGGCAACTTTAGAAACGCTCATTCTCAATATGAAAAATGTGTGGTGTATACCAAATGTGTACACCTTTTGTGTACACATGTCTGTCCCCAGCAGATAAGTTGTTTGTCCACAGACAATCAACTCTACAGAGTTGTCTGTGGATTGTCTGTGGACAGACAACTTGTGTGTTGAGCACAGACATGTGTACACAAAAGGTGTACACATTTTGTGTACACCAAGCAAAGTTGTTCTCAATATAATCCTTGTTAATTTGTTAGGCATGCTATCCTTGCAATCATTAGAAGTAGGCTTGTTGTAGAATCCTTAGCTATTCATTACGGTGCATGAGAATCATTTTTTTTTTGAGAATCCTTTTGCATCCTTGGCAATCCTTTTGTTACAATCATTTAATCCTATCAATCCCTCCCGTTTGTTTTTATGCATGCCATCTACTATTAATGATCTGATCTTATTTGTTTTATACACCAACTTCAATTAAAATGTTTATCCGAATTGAAAAACTACAAAAAATATATTTACATCATATCTTTAAGCCATGCAGACGGGTAAGCACTCGCACCCGACTGGCCAGATGTACGACATCTCAAAAGGCACCTATTAGAGAAATCTTGCATGACGACTCTTGAGTAAAATGTATTCGAAACTTCCAAAGGCTGATCGAGTACCTGTGATTTGACTGCATCACTGTGAAACTTCCAAAGAGGAGGTCCCAAGTTTGGATCTCATCACAGTTCAAGAATGTTGCCCGTAACAGAACAAATAATATACCGAGTAATAGGTCAGAAAGCTTTGTCAAAAAAAAAACAAAAAAAAGGGTGAGTGTCATACCAGATTCGGCTGGACGTACGGTGGAGCCACATGTGAAGTGTCAAGTGTCTTCCATTCTCACAAAACATAGGTGTCCTTCGCCCTTCGGGTCATTTAAGTTTTATATAACTCACATGTATAAATACATAATACAATAAATTTTTATACGTATAAAAATATGTAACTCACATGTATAAATACATAATACAATAAATTTTTTATATACACAATTTTAAGATAAATTGTGATTTACACAATTATTTTTCTGTATTAAATTTAGTTCGATTTTCCTTATAATCCAATAATCATTAATATAACAGTTCGATAATTTGTTAAAATTACATAAGCAATATTGGTCTCATTTGATAGATCATGAAAAAAAAAATTAATATAAAATTTATAAAAATCAGATATGAAATAAAAAAGTTATTACAATTTTTAACAACAAAAGGAATAAAAATTAATGGGACCCAATGTTATTGTTGTTATGGAGCTTGCCAGAAATAAAGACCGGTATACGGTGCTCACCGTATAAACTTTACGTGTAAAAATATGTAACTTTACGTGTAAAAATATGTAACTCGCGTTCAGGAAGACCAAATGCAACTCGTGTGTATAAATATGTAACTTTACATATAAAAATATGTAACTTTACGTATAAAAATATGTAACTCACATGTATAAATACATAATACACTAAATTTTTCATATACACAATTTTAAGATAAATTGTGATTTACACAATTATTTTTGTGTATTAAATTTAGTTTGATTTTCCTTATAATCCAATAATCATTAATATAATAGTTCGATAATATGTTAAAATTACATAGGCGATATTGGTCTCATTTGAAAGATCATGAAAAATAAAAAAAAGTTGATATAAATTTTATAAAAGTCAGATCAAAAATAAAAAAATTATTACCATTTTAAAAAAGAGAAAAAAAAAATACTGAGGCCCACTACGGGATGGAATACCATACGCACAGTGGGACGGTTGCATGGTATACGAACTGCCCCGAGGACCAACTCAATAGCAATAGTTGGATTGTAAAAAAGCTTTCAACTTTACTTAAGATTTCCGGTGTAAAAATATTGGCTAAATGATCAAATAGGTCCATGTATCTCATGTTTGCTCAATTGAATGCCTAAATTAAACAAATGTCCAAGTCACACCCTCAACCGGAAAAATGGTTCAAAATTCATTTTTTAAAGGTCACCCGCCATGTCATATGGTAAACTAATGATGTGGTTACGAAATATTCAAATAAGTCCCTGAATCTGCCATAATTGTTCAAATCACCCCCAAGCAAATAAAAAGTGCCAACATTGTAATAAATTGCATATAAAAATAGAAAAAATAAAAAACAATTAAATAAAGTATATACATATAATTAAAAAATAAAAAGGCTAAAAGGTCAAATAGGTACATGAACTAACTTAAAGTGTTCAATTAGCCCCTTATATAGGAGATTCTGCCCGGCCGTCGCCAATTGGGGAGGTTCCCGGTATAAATTTTTGATGAAATTTTTTTAGCATCTTCTTCATTAAGTCTAGTTTATCCATCTCAAATTTCAGCTAAAAATTAAATTGGGAAGACAGTCAAATGATTTTCCGAAATGTACTGCGCTGTTTAACTGCGCAGTTAACTTCAAAAAATCATTTGGCTGTCTTCCTGGTTGAATTTTTATCTGAAATTTGGTATGAGTAAACTAGACTTAATGAAGAAGATGCTAAACCAATTTCATCAAAAAATTCCACCGGAAACTTCCCCAATTGGCGACGGCCGGGCAGAACCTCCTATATGAGGGGCTAATTGAACACTTTAAGTTAGTTCATGTACCTAATTGACCTTTTAGCCAAATAAAAATAAAAAACATAGTATAATTTTAAGCTATATATTCATAGTTTATATCCATTTATTACATTAATATTTTATTTAAGATTTCATTTTATATTTTTGTGTTTTATTTTATGTTTTTTACGCCGTATACTTTAGCATTTCGGAGATTTTACATTATCACATATGATTTAAAAAATAGAAAATTATGATACTTCAAAAATTAGTTATAAAATAAAAATTTCAAATTTCAAATTGAATTTCTTTTGTATAACATAAAGTATAAATATGATTTTCATGTATAATATATACAAAATAAAATAAATAGGTGCAGAAGTTTAATAGGAACGGGTTAATTAAAAAATTCGAACATGTGATTTCGAATTAACCAAAAAAATATAAATATTTTTACCATATATTTACACTTCATATTTATTATTTTATATTTATTTTTTCCAATTTATTTTGAATTTATCCTAACGTTGAACTTTTTTTAAAGTTAAGGGGGTTAATTGAACAATATGAATATGTCGAGGGACTTATTTGAGCTTCTAGTTTCTAATCCAGATGAACAATTGACAACTTAACAGGTGATGTGGCATGTGATCTACCGAAGCGTGACCTGTAAAAAAATGAAATTTGAACCATTTTTCACCATTTTAGGGTGTGAATTGGACCTTTTTTTGTTTCGGAAGAACATTAAAGAACAATTTTTCATTCATTTTAAAACAATTTTCTACACAAAATATATAAGAACGTTCACATCACGAAGTACAATGTGTTTAAATTTGGTCCATATATATATAAAAAAATTAGATGTGAGACCCTTCTTATTTTAGCTCCAAAGTGACCAAACTATTAATTTGTAAAATCATTTCAATTCCTAGCTATTCCATCATTTGCAATGGAGCCAAAGATTCATTATTTTTTGGTTTGAGATTATGATGGAATAAAGCAAAATGACTCATTAAACTGTCTGCGTTTCTTTCTTATGGAGCAGCAGTCAGTCCATGCAATTTTAGACGCGATTTTCACTATGGGTCATCCAGAAACAATCTATTTGTGCTTTAGTACAGGGGTAAGACTGCGTACATCCGACCCCCCCTTACCTCACTGTAGGTGGGAACCTTTGCGGCACTGGGGTAAATGAAAATGAAAAATGATTTCAATTCCTAGCTAGAATTATACCATTACAAGTGTATATTTTTTGAAATTTTATATGATTCAAAATCAGACACACACACATTAATATATACTCCTCTATCTGACAAATTTTGCCCAATTTTTTTATTTAACCCTTCCAGCTTTCCATTTTCATTTAAAATAAAAATTTGTGATTAAAGTTACTTCGCTCACTTATGCATAAATTCAATCCTAGAGGTTTTATTTTAAACTCGTTTGGTAACACTAAAATTAACTGAATCTATTTAAATTGATAAAACTCTAGTTGAAGGTGTTGAACCAGCCGAATTATGAAATTTTTTATATTTAAAATATATATGCCTTAACTCCAGTCAATTTAGGTAGTTTGCATTATTCGGGCTGCGTAGAGAATGGAAGAGGCATAAAGAGTGTTTTTATCTCGAAATGTATCTACGCCTTTTCGGAACGAAGTAAAAAGAAGAATATAGTATGCACTCATATTGCAGCAGCTCGTCCTCCTCCGGAACCACCTCCCTGCTAGGAAGAGCTTGGTGGAAAGACTTTATTACAACGATGACAATGATATGTTTCCTTGAAACTTTTGTTAGAAATTTTTTGATTTTTATTTCCACAGGAAAAAATTTCAACGATGACAATGATATATTTCACGGCAGTAGTGATCATCTATGACAGCAACAATGACATATCTTATAGTCGGTAGTAAGATAAAAATTTGACAATACATCATGTTCTCCATATTTATTAACATGTTAGTCGCATTTTTGTTCATATTTAGAAGTAATCATTTTTTGAAAATAAGATTACATTTAGTCAATTTTTGGAAAACCCCGAAGTATATATGGTAATATCCCCGTCCCGTTTTAGGGTTCTCATTGCAAAATGTCACGGTTATTATTTAAAAATAATTAATAAAGTATTTTAAATATATTTTTAGAAACAATTTTGATGGTAACTTCAAAATATTATTTCCAATATTTAATCATTATAGTGCGAGTAAATCAGTGATAATTTGTTTTTAAAACATAGATTGCAGCATTTGGTGAAATTTTTAAAATGAGAGAAGCTTTCCAATTACTTACTCCGTATTGACTATTGACCATGGAGATGGGCGGCTTTGAAGGAAAGAAACCTCCTTAAGTTAGGAAAGATGAAGAGGTAAATGGGTCCCCTACAGAAGGGCACTTGTCAGTAAACTGCCGCCGGCTTTTGCGCTTCCCTCCACGTGGCCTCGCCATTTCGTTAAGGCGCCGTCAGCCATCGGTCACAGTGTCCCATTACGGAATGTCCCTCATCTCTTCTTCCGCCACCTTCATTAATCAATTACTATACACTAACATAGCAAAACTTAATTAAAGTTCACTAACAATAATATAATCGTTTCCTAATCCAGTTAACAAACACACTTTGTTCAACTAATAATGTGATTAGGCCGAACCTTCCCACCTCCATACGACTCCCTCCCCACTTGCCCTGCCCATCCACAAATAGTCTCATCTTCAAGTTAAACCCAAAATTAATTACACCACTAATGATGAATTACTGTTTTTACTGTTTGCCCATGAATGATGAATCAACCCACAGCTTGATTCTTGATTCTTGAAGTAATATATTTGGGGGTGGATGTCTTACTGATTTTGCGGAGTGGTAAGAAAAACACCACACTCTCATTTGTCGTGTTCTTGGTGGGGATAAGAAGTAATCTTCCCATCTCTCAGCCTGATTCGCTTTAATTTGTTTCTTTGTCCTCTTTTTTTCGTTTAAATCTTTTGACGAAGTAGAAAATTTGTTTCTCAAGGTTAATTAAAGAAAAAGTCTCGGCCTTTACTTCTTCTCGGGAGAAGAGGAGGGAAGGAAAGGGGAGAGAAGAGAATCCTTTTCAGTGGATAAAGCTGGGGAAGATTGGGGTTAAAGAAAAGTGCAAATTCGGTTAGTTTTCATGAAAATAAAAATCCCCAAATAACTGAAAAGGGGAGGGAGTTCGAGAACAGAAGATCGCCCAGGATCCAATTGCCGCCGGAAAGTAAGAATAGATTCTTCTCCCTTTGCCTTTACTTTGCTCTGTTAATCATTTTTCTCCACTTTTCAATTTCAACCCACTTATCAATGGTAGTTATAAAACGGATTCCTTGAATGGGTGGTTGATTGGAATGAACAGGGAGTGACGGCGGCGGAGAATGGCAACGCCGGTGGAGCCGCCGAACGGAGTTTGGGCGCCGGGGAAGCATTACTACCGAATCTGGCAGACGGTATTCGAAGTGGACACGAAGTATATTCCGATCAAGCCGATCGGGAAAGGGGCGTACGGCGTCGTTTGCTCGTCGGTGAACCGGGAGACGAACGAGAGGGTGGCGATCAAGAAGATCTGTGACGTGTTTGGGAACAGAGTTGATGCGCTGAGGACTCTGAGGGAGTTGCAGCTTTTACGTCACGTTAGGCATGAGAATGTGATTGCTCTCAAGGACGTGATGATGCCGGCGACGGCGCCGGGCTTCGGCGGCGGCGGGTTTAAGGATGTGTATTTGGTTTATGAATTAATGGATACTGATTTACATCACATCATCAAGTCCTCCCAGCCACTCTCCAATGATCATTCCAAGTATTTCCTTTTCCAGGTGTTAATTCTTCTCCTCTCTTTTTCCTCAAAAAAATGCTGTTTCCATTAATTGTGCTGTTTGTGCTTTTAATAATCCATAAACATGTCATTCAAGATCATTTATAAGAATTTATTTGCTTGTTTGTAGAAAAAACACTTTTGCATTTATTTATCTTTCGGGTTTTTGGTCAAAAAAAAAATCTTTCGGGTATTTGTGGAAAACGACCTTTTTTTAAATAGTTTGGGGAATTTGCAGCTTTTGAGTTGTTCATTTGTCGCACACCCACTGTTTACAAAATAACAAAAATAAAAAGACCAAACTCTGGTCTATGGAGCCTTTAAATTCACTTCAAGAAAAATTAATGCCCTTTAGGATGTTTTGTTTTTTTTCTTACCACATTTATGATTCAAATTTTCCACTAAACAATATTTTTTACTTCATGCGCAAAATTGGTAATAATGAAAAATAAAGATGTTTTTTTAAAAGCAAAAATAAATGTGGTTACATTATGACTACAGCTGCATACAAAACACAGATAATGATCATTGAAAAATTAAATTTAATTCGAATATCTATTTAAATGAATGTACGAACTAAGAAAATACAAATACTAGGATAAGAAGAGGCCATATGGTAAAGACTAGAATAAGAAGGTAGAGGTCATATCATGAAATAGACAAGTATTTATATTTTGGTTTATTATTTTATACCCCTTCGATTCCAAAACAAGTTCCACATTTGACTTCACACATATTAAGACAATAAATTTGACTTTACTGTGGAGTGCACTGTTTGTCACTGTTTGAACACTGTTTGGCACTGTTTGACAATGTTTTGATGTAGATAATAAGGAAATGTTTGAAAGTGGAACTTAATTTTGAATCTGCCCGAAAAGGAAAGGTGGAACTTATTTCAGAAACGAAAGGAAGGAGTAATTAGTTAATTTTAGGACAAACACTTCAACATTGTGCATCGCATAGTTTATTACGATAAATCATATGGAGTGTGTTATACATTTTTGTGTAATGTATTTTAGCCATAACTTTAGCAATTCTAGCACATTATTCAACCAATTTTGTTGTTACCAAATTGGTTCTTACCCTTCATTTTATAAATGCTATGAGAAGAAAAATTGGATTTAATTAAAAGGTATATATTGAATGGATCTACTAATAGTTCCAAAAAGAAGGATAGGAAGAGGTCATATGTTGTTCAAAGTTCATTTTCTTGGACTTTAATTTCAGTTACTTGACTCTAATTATTTTTCTTGTGTGATAATACGTGAATGGCAACCTCAGCTACTACGAGGGTTGAAATATCTCCACTCAGCAAACATTCTCCACCGGGACTTGAAGCCTGGAAATCTACTTGTAAATGCAAATTGTGAACTGAAGATTTGTGATTTCGGGCTGGCTAGAACTACCCGAGACAACGGGCAGTTCATGACTGAATATGTGGTGACACGTTGGTATCGAGCCCCCGAATTGCTCCTTTCGTGTGATAATTATGGAACCTCCATTGATGTGTGGTCAGTCGGGTGTATATTCGCAGAGATTCTTGGCAGAAAACCGATATTTCAAGGTTCGGAGTGCCTCAGTCAGCTCAAACTCATCATCAATGTTCTTGGTAGTCAACCTGAATCCGATCTTCAGTTTATCGATAACCCGAAGGCGAAAAGGTTCATTCGATCACTCCCATTTTCCCGGGGGGTCAATTTCTCTTCTTTGTTTCCCCAGGCTGATCCTTTGGCATTGGATTTGTTACATCAAATGCTTGTTTTTGATCCATCCAAGAGAATCACGGTTTTAGAAGCTCTTCATCACCCTTACTTGTCGGATCTTTTTGATCCCGCTCATAACCCGCCCGCCCAATTCCCTCTCGATCTTGATATTGATGAGAACATGGGAGAACCGGTTATTAGGGAGTTGATGTTGAGAGAAATCTTCTATTACCACCCTCCTGAAACTTCTTATGTGAACTCATTTTACTAAGGCCTTTTATTCAAGAAGAGGGAAAAGAAGGGTCGTTTTGAAACTGTTGAATTTTTATTTATGTCTGGGCTATCATCCATTGTCATATCTGTGTGAGAACACCTTATGTTGGAGTCTGTAATCATATTTTTAGCATCGCATGATTCTTGTAGTTCTTGTTTTTGCAAATTGTAATGTACTCATGAGATGTAACATCCAATTTCCTACAATTAATGAAGTGCATTTGTGGCCATAAGTATATATGTTTTATATTTAAGGTAGTATGGTTTTGAGTACTCTACTGTATACACAAAAACATTAAAAACATTGAACTTTTTTTCATTATCCAATATATATGTTATAAAATGGAAGGAAACCAGCAGAAGATTAGGGAGAGATTATATTATATATAATGAATATATTATAGGCTAAACAAGTGATTAACCCAGAATGGGGGAATTAATATTAACAACATAATCATTATCTAGAAATCGCAATTGTGATTTCCGAATTATCTTGAAAATGATAATAATGACTTATTAATCATGAATAATTAGGAGATGAGAAATTCATTATATTTAAACAATATATACCTTGTCACACAAAAATGTAACTACAAAATGTAATCAAAAGGTATTTCTTCAATTTTTTGTTATGAGAAGTCATAACTACAATATGTATACGTATTAGCATAATGTTAGCTAAAATGTTAACAAGCTGAAAATTTGAATAAATTTGAATTACTAAACAGGGCGATGACCTTTACCCTTGTGACAATCCTTAAGTAGTCGTGTGGAAAAGTTGTTGTGTATTTCACTTTGTCGGTCATCCATCTTTAAGTTTCGTTGGTGTGAGAATCTTGTATTTCTTCCGGTCCTTTTTAAACTTTACATTTTGACATCACACATATTAAGGAAATAAATTTGACTTAATTGTAGAATACACTATTTGACACTGTTTGACACTGTTTTGCAATGTTTGGTGTAGATTTGTTTGCCAAATAAGGCAAATAAGGAAGTGTAAAGTTTAATACGGGACGACCCGAAATGGAAAGTGTAAAGTTAATTAAGGACCGGAGGGAGTATTCAATTCCACTCAAAAATGAATTAAATTTTAAATTGTCCCCCCCCCCCCCCCCCCCCCATTTTTAATAAACTTTAAATACCTGTAAGTAAGCAAGACTAAAAGGAATTCATTTAATTTAAGGGAAAAGTTCAAATAAGCCCTCGAACTAACCGAAAAAATGCAAATCACCCCTTTTATAGGAGGCTCTGTCCAAACGTCGCCATTTGGGGAGGTTTCCGGTGAAATTTTTTATGAATCTTTTTTAACATCTTCTTCATTAAGTCTAGTTTATCCATACCAAATTTCAGCTAAAAATGCAACAGAGAAAGCAGTCAAATGATTTTCTGAAATATACTACGTTGTTTAACTGCGCAGTTATCTTCAAACAATTATTTGACTGCCTTTCCGATTGCATTTTTAGTTGAAATTTGGTATGGGTAAACTATACTTAATGAAGAAGATGCTAAAAAAAAACATCAAAAAATTGCACCGGTAACCACCCCAAATGGCGTCGGCCGGACAGAGCCTCCTATAAAAGGGGTGATTTGCACATTTTCGGATAGTTCGAGGGCTTATTTGCCTCTTTTCCCTTTAATTTAATGAAAAATGACAAATTATCTTGATTTGAGAACATTAAATCATTTCACATATCCATAAAACTTATTTAGCTTATCAGAATTCTAAATTAACAAAAGCTCTACTTTTTTAAGTAAAAAAGCCATCATAGTATATCTTCTACGTTAGAAAATAAATTTATTCCTTTGATCTCTGCATGCATGAATCAAAATAGTTACGTTACGCAAAAGTTATAGAACCGTTGTGGATTACTTTTGCTTGATGAATCTATATTCGTTTGAGGGATTATGGTAAATATAATTAATATGATACGTAGTATGTAATTTTATCTTGTATTTGTAAATATGTGTTAAGTATCGTTAATATTATGTGATTTTACACAATTGAGTTTCATTACTTTTAAGATTATTTTGCGCTGCAAATTGAGCATTAGTTATAGGGAAAAGGACACTAATATTACTATTAAGAGGCTCAATTCCAAAAAAGTGAGTCTAATTATAAAAAGCCAAAAAAGTGACCTTGTAGGTAATACAACTGGAATTAATCTCACGGCACACACGAAACATCAACGACCTTGTAGGCATGCGTGATATGTTTCAAATTTAATACCGTTACAAATTGTAGGTATTACTCTTCTTTTTTAATTTATTACAGTTTCAATTTTTCAAAGCAATGAGTAAGTGTTGTCTATAAAAGTTAATGTTTTATTATTTTAATTTCATTTATGAAGATACAAATTCGGATATGAAAAATTGTGTGACAATTATTCAAGTGATCACCGTCCCAGTTACAACTACCGCTTCAGGTCACTATCCCAGTTATCTCCGCTCTAGTGACAACATCTCAGTTACAACCACTCCAGTGACACCGTCCAGTTACTGTCGCTCCAGTGATCACCGTCTCAGTTACTACCGATTCCAATAACCACCGTCTCAATTACTACCGTGACAATTGTCACGCCCCGGACCGCATTCGGGCCACGTAGACAACCGTCGTACAACCCGATAAGAACAACAACAGTTCATCTCTATTGAATTGTACAAGGCGTCTGATTGATTCTATTGCCAAACCGATTAGTAAACACATACAATCAACATCAATATCATAATCAACAAATGCGGAAATAATAATATGTTTAATACTTAGCCACACGTGGCAAACACGGGCACGCAGGCCCCCAGCTGGTTATCACCGAAAACTCCTTATCTCCTTCACATTCTTAGGTCTCTCCCAATTAGTGACCGCTTCAATCTTTGAGTTATCAACTGAAATGCCCGATCCCGATACCACATGCCCGAGGAAACCGATCTCCCCAAGCCAAAATTCACATTTAGAGAATTTGGCAAAGAGTTGCTTCTCCCGCAGTGTTTCAAACACAACTCTTAGATGTTTTTCGTGCTCCTCTTCATTCATAGAGTATATCAAAATGTCATCAATGAACAGTATGACGAATTGGTCCAAGTATTGATGGAATACTCGGTTCATGAGGTCCATGAATACCGCGGGTGCGTTCATAAGCCCAAACGACATTACTAGGAACTCATAGTGACCATACCTTGTACGAAATGAACTTTTGGGTATGTCACTCTCCTTGATCTTCAGTTGATGGTAGTCTGACCTCAAGTCGATCTTAGAGAACACGGTTGCCCCCCGTAGTTGATCAAACAAGTCATCGATCCTTGGCAAAGGGTATTTGTTCTTTACCGTGACCTTGTTCAACTGACGGTAATCGATACACATTCTGAGTGTACCATCTTTCTTCTTTACAAAGAGTACCGGTGCTCCCCACGGTGAATGACTCGGCCTAATGAATCCGATGTCTAGTAATTCTTCTAATTGAACCTTCAACTCTTGAAGTTCAGCCGGTGCCATCCGACATGGAGGAATCGAGATGGGTTTTGTACCGGGTTCTACTTCAATGGTGAACTCAATTTCTCGATCTGGTGGGAGTCCCGGGAGTTCTTCAGGGAAAACTTCTGGGTACTCACTCACCACTCTCACCTCATTGAGACTCTTTCCCCTGCCTTCCTTGCCTATGACATAGGCCAAGTATGCTTGACACCCTTTCCTCATCATACGCCTTGCTCTTATGGCCGATATGATACAAGGATTGAATTTCCCTCTATCTCCCTCGAAGCATAGAGTATTTGCTTCTCCATCTTTTAGTTCTAACACCTTGGTGTAGCAATCTACTTTCGCATGGTGTTTTTCGAGCCAATCCATGCCTAGTATAGCATCAAACTCGAGCATATCTAACGGCACAAAGTCACCCGTTAGACAGTGCTCCCCTATCCCTACATTACACGAGGGATAGTAGTGTTTCCGCTCTACATCATCTCCCAATGGCGTGGAGACCAACAAAGGTTGCATCATTGCTACCAAAGGCATGCCCAAACCCTTGGCAAACGCTTCGCTCACAAATGAACGTTGTGCTCCGATATCGATGAGAATTCTCGCATCCCTATCGTTGATCTTTAGTGTCCCTACATACATAAGTCATGCAAGACACACTACTCAACATCCCGACTGAAAAGGACCGAATGAAAAATTTTCAGTCTAGGGATACCCTATACCCGGTCGGGTAGGGTCCTCTACCCGGTCGGGTATCACTCGAGTCCTTAAGGAAAAACCTTCTGTTTTCCTTGCTCGGTCGAGTACCGGCCTCGAACCCGAACAATTTATCTATACCTGGTCGGGTATATTCCCATACCCGATCGGGCATGGCTAAAAACATCACAACGTTTTGCTCTGAATGTTCGATCGGGCACACGCTTCAAACTCGAGAAAAATGTCGATACCCGGTCGGGTATATGCCTATACCCGGTCGGGTATCACTCAAAATTTCCAATTAATAGCTTCCTGTCATCAACGCTCGATCGAGTACACACCTCGAAGCTCAAGTTTTACACATACCCGATCGAGTATATAGCCATACCCGATCGGGTATTGTTCGAAGTGTCAAAAATGAAGGATTCTGCCACGCTTGCCCATATGAGTACACACATCAAAATCGAAGCATGGCCTATACCCGGTCGGGTCTATAGGGATACCCGATCGGGTCCTTCATATTTTTTTTTTGAATTTTTTTAATTCAAATACATGATCAAAATACGTGTGTAATCAAGAGATTACCTGCAATGGAGTCCGGGTTGGCCCGAGCATCATCCTCGGTCATAGTATATACCCGTGCATGGGTCCTCCCTTGGTTAACGGATGCGGCGTTGCTAGCCGTGGGTCCGCCCCTTCCTGTGTCGCCCCGAGACGGCCCCGCATGTCCCCTACTAGTCGTAGGTCCTCCCATAGCTCCCGATGGTCCTCCTCCGTTTAACATTGGACAAGAGGGTTTGAGGTGGCTCGTGCTACCGCATTTGAAGCATCGGGGTGGTTCATTGCACCTTCCCTCATGGTTCTTACCGCAGTTTGCGCACCTGGGTGGTCCCACACCCCCTGGTTTGGGCCCTTGCCCTCCTGAGCCCATATACCTTTTCGTTGGTGGTGCCGGCGCCCTGAATGTATTGCCACCCCCGGCGTGATGCTTCCGAGAGTGGTCTTGGGGTCCAGAGTTTCCCCATCTCCTCTTCTTCGCCTCCTCGGCGTCCCTCGCCTTCCTTTCATTCCATTGGGTTTCTCCAAGGAGCCCTTGATCGACAACTTGACTGAATGTCATGTTATGCTGATAAGTAGCCCGGTCGCGGATGTCCAACTGTAGAGCATCCCAAAAATGATTGGCCATTCGATTCTCATCCAAAGAGTACTCTAGTATGAATCGTGCCAAGTCTCGGAACCTCTGTTCCAATTGCCTCACCGAGCAGCCATCCTCCTGTTTCAGATTTGTGTACTCTCTCCTCTTGAGATTGACCTCAAAAGTTGAGTAGTACTGGTTATAGAACTCCACTTCGAATTTCTCCCAAGTGGTCTCACCGTGGAACTTTCCTTCCACGCCTTCCCACCATACAGCAGTTACCCCTTCTAGTAGCCTGGTGGCAACCCTCAACTTCACGCCGAGTCCAATTTGCATGTCCCTAGAAGCATCATTCAGCTTCTTAATCCAGTCGGCGGCATCAGATATGTCGCCCTTACCATCAAATGACTTGCACCCCAAGGCCCTCGCCTCCTTGAGATACTTGGAGATACGTACCATCGTGTCTCCTCCAAATGCTCCAGATGGAGCACTAGAAGCTCCCCGGCTTCCCTGTCCCATGGCCTACCTATCCTGCCTAGCTTGGCGTCGCTATTCTCTCCTTGCCTTGTTCTCGAGGTACCATTCTAGTACCTCGCTCGTACGATCATAATGAGGATCGTCATCCTCATCTTCTTCATGAAAGTCCTCCCCATTGTACGGGGTCTCCTCTTGCTCCGTGCTTGGAGCATATGTGAAATCGTCCGGTTCGGTGGCCCAAGACGGGTGCACAGAACAGACATGCGTGCTACATGCCGTCGGCGTTGTAGAACGCCCACGACCCCTGCCTCGGCCTCCTCCTCGGCCTTGGCCCCGACCTCTACCCCTAGAGGTCCATGATTCAGCTCGTGTATCGTGCCTGGTGACCCCCGGTGCATGACCCGTCGGGTTTCTCCTAGTAATCCTGCGTCCACCCTCCATTTCTGAAAGAAATAAGGAATGAGTCATTAGACTCGTTTCAATGTCAATTGACGGATTAGTACAAAAGACAGCACTTGGTCCAACATTATGGCCAACAAACTGTTAAGGGTACCGTCTTAACAATAAGAGGTCAATAACTTGGTTTCCAACGGTTCCTTAGGTACAAAAACTTTCTGCTCATGGTTTTGTTCAAAACTTTTCGATGGTAAGATATTGAGAGGTTAATTATATAGTTTAGAAATCGATGGCTCTGATACCACTTAATTGACACGCCCCGGACCGCATCCGGGCCACGTAGACAACCGCCGTACAACCCGATAAGAACAACAACAGTTCATCCCTATTGAATTGTATAAGGCGTCCGATTGATTCTATTGCCAAACCGATTAGTAAACACATACAATCAACATCAATATCATAATCAACAAATGCGGAAATAATAATATGTTTAATACTTAGCCACATGTGGTAAACACGGGCACGCAGGCCCCCAACTGTTTTAAAGAAAACATTATTCGAAAATCCATGAGCAGTTTATACATTTGAAATAAGAATGGAAGCACGAACCACATCTTCCTTTTTGATCAATCACCCTAGGCAAAGGTGCAGGTAGTAGGACTCTAGCCTCAACCTGAAAAATGTGAGGGCCCCCCGGAGGGGTCAGTACTCCATAGAAGTACTAGTGACAAGCAGGCTATATGAAGAATAATTAATGTTTCAGACACGAGACCCAAAAATAGGGTGATATATATATATATATATATATATATATATATATATATATATATATATATATATATATATATATATGACTCATCCATCCGATGATACATACTGTATATATATATTTGTAAAATACTCGACCCGTGGGTCATTTCATTCAAAGAGTCTTTTAGAGATAGAGTTCTTACCTGACCTTTCTCACTCCTTTCCTGAATGCCTAGCTCACAAGCTACATTCTACATTCATAATATCCTACCGAGTTTTGGGAGCATTTAGCATCCCGGGGATACTCAACCCCAACCGAGTTTCAGGATCATTTACCGTCCCGGGGATACTCAACCCCAGCCGAGTTTCAGGATCATTTGCAGTCCCGGGGATACTCAACCCCAACCGAGTTTCAGGATCATTTATAGTCCCGGGGATGCTCAACCCCAACCGAGTTTCAGGATCATTTATAGTCCCGGGGATGCTCAACCCCAACCGAGTTTCAGGATCATTTATATCTCAGGGATGCTCAACCCCATTTGAGTTTCAGGATCATTTAATGTCCCGGGGATACTCAACCCCAAACTTAATCCTTACCCAACCCCCTAACCTGGATATGGCTAACCTTTCGTTCCTTTAACTATGGACAATACCTAGCCATATAGTCATATAACCATCCATAGGAACCAACGTGGGCGGGTCCCACCTGAACGGCCCACATTAACCCGCTCAAAATTGCCCGTTTTGAGCATAACCCAATACTCGATCGAGTATCTACCCATACTCGGTCGAGTACAGGAGACAGTAGCCCACAAAGCTAATTTTCAATGTATACTCGATCGAGTATCTACCCATACTCGATCGGGTATGGGAGGCAGTAGCCCCCTGGGGCAATTTTTCAATAAATACCCGGTCCGGTTTGTGTCAATACCCGGTCGGGTATGGCAGTTGACTTGGCCGTCAACGCCCGTTTGACCACCCAAACGGAGTCCGATTAACGTGAAATTTTATACACATATACTTCTTGACATCCTTGATCCAAAAATACCATTTTGGATCCCTGGAACATCACACATAATAAGTTATCACATTTTTAATCACCAAACCTACATAACATGTTTTTCAACTATGTTTTATGTATAATCATGGCATAATCAAACACTTGGTTATCTTTAATCATTCCAAAAAACATATCCTTGATTACTTTAGGTAATCTCATGCCTCATGCAAAATTTATAAAGCATAAAGCCGTCTTCTCACCTTAATGAAGCTTACGAAGTTCTAGCCTTCCCTATTTAGCTCCGGTGAAACTCCGGCGAACTTCAACGAACTCCGGCGACAACTCCGGCGCCCCTTTCAACTCCGTGAAAGTTCCTTGAATACCTTAGACAAGTTACTAACAATGTTTTATCATCATAAAACCCATAGTAATACAAATAACCTCAAAAAGGTTATTTTCCGGCGAACCGGTCACTTTGGCTTCTAAGTCCGTTCTTGGACTTAGAACTACCTTCCAACCCCTCATTATACTTCTCTAAACATGTAGAATAATTCTAGGGGTCCTCCATATAACATATAAGTCATATGGTAGTTAAAGAGTAGAGGAAGAGTTAAAATGAGGTCATTACCTTAACCACCCTACTTTTTCCTTCCTTCTTCTTCTTTAAATTTCTGACTTTGACCTCCTTGGGCTTAGCTCGGATTTGGCTATGGTAGAATGGGGTTTCAGAGCTTCCTTTCTTCCTTTCCTTGGTCTTGGCCGAGTTAGTGGGAGAGGGATGGGTAGGAATACTGTAATACCCCGAAAATTTATAAGAAAATTTAAATTTTTAAAATGTCAGATAAAATGCTATAAAGCTCACATTCGTATATTAGTTATGAAGGTGAGATAAAATTTTGACTTGATCAATACAAGTGACATTTACACAAACTTTGATATGAAGATATCTTTTATTAAAATGTGTACAAATTACACTGAATACAAATAATAACGTTAATCATATAAAAGACATTTATTAAATTATACTCCGTAATAAAAAAAAATAGTGGATCAATAACTCAACGAACTCAAATTGCTATTATTGTATTATTACTATTATTGTATATTATTATACTACGTATTAAAGCAGCAATGAGAGCCCTACATGAACTCTAATACATCAGTTGTGCGAATTAGAAGATGACTTAGTTAAATCTAGTCATGAAATTAACATTTACTTGTTATTACATTAGTTTTTATTGTTTTACTTTGAGTTGCCTGTGCATTCGGTTAAGAGATGACCGAATGTGGCGGTAACACTCATTTCCCTTTTAGACTTCCACTGTATTTCTTCAACTCTTTGATGAATGAATAAAGTATTTCTTTTAAATATATCAATGTTTTGGGCGGGAAATTTAGGGGTGTTACAAATTGGTATCAGAGACTTTGTTTTACAAAATCTTTTAAATGTTTTCAAAATCATTTAAAGGTTTTCTAAAACTTTTTTTAATTGACTTAATTATTTTATTAATTACTTAGGATTAAAGAACCTGATTAGGAATAAAGTTTAAGGCTTAGGATCGCGGTGAGATGGTGGGATGTCTAATTTGTTATGATTTATGTTGGATTAATTTTGATGACATGAGAATTATGTGAAATCATGTGAACTTTGATTGGTGTTATGTTTCTCAAAAGACTTGATTAGTACTAGTGAGAAGAACTCTAGGGCATATGTGCATATGTGCTCCTATGTATGTGATTGGTTAGAAAATTTAATAGGAATACTCCTAAGAAAATTTAAGAGTTATGCTTCAGGGACGAAGCATTCTTTTAAGGGGGGTAGAATGTAATACCACGAAAATTTAAAAGAAAATTTAAATTTTTAAAATGTCAGATAAAATGCTATAAAGCTCACATTCGTATATTAGTTATGAAGGTGAGATAAAATTTTGACTTGATCAATACAAGTGACATTTACACAAACTTTGATATGAAGATATCTTTTAATAAAATGTGTACAAATTACACTGAATACAAATAATAACGTTAATCATATAAAAGACATTTATTAAATTATACTCCGTAATAAAAAAAAAATAGTGGATCAATAACTCAACGAACTCAAATTGCTATTATTGTATTATTACTATTATTGTATATTATTATACTACGTATTAAAGCAGCAATGAGAGCCCTACATGAACTCTAATACATCAGTTGTGCAGACTTAAACCCTAGAAAACTATGGCCGAGGAATGTAATTAACATGCGTACATACGTAGTATATATATGACCCTTGACTTGCAAACATGGGAATAAATACCCGCCGCCCTATACAAATACCTGCGTAGGAGAAGAAAGAAAGCTTGCTCTTTGACCCTTATTTCAAGCCTCATCCCGATAGGCTAAGTGAGAATCTCACTCTGTTGAAGGCAAGAGAATTCTCGGAGTATCTTAAGAGCTGCACAGATCCTGAGAATATGGAGAACGAAAAAGTTCCCTTGAGAGTGGAGAGATCAGATGAAACCCCAAGCAAGAAGGGTCCGCAAGACAACCCTACAGAGAACGCCACTGTCTCTAGAAAGCGGGCGAAGACTGCTGAGGTTCCTGTAATTTCTCAGCTGAACTCGGATTCTGAAACAGAAGACGATGCTAACAAAGGCAAGACCCAAAACACTGCCAACCAGGATGACGACTTTTTCACGGCAAAAACAGATCCATGGGTAAACTCAAAGGCTTGGGGGACCTGCAGAGTTGGCTGGATTCTTGGGAACAAACATAAGAGTGCTGTACATCTGAATCTGACAAAGGGCCTAGATTGCCTTCCGTTCAGTAATCCGAAGGACCTTGGCGTCTACACCGAGATAACGATCACGACATCTTTTGGAGAGACTGTCTGGGGCCCATACGAGAGAGCTGTCATAAATTGTGCTGAGGATTACTACGATGACTTGGAAGAATTGGGCTCGGTTGATTATTTTACAACTGGGCCGGACAATAATAAAGTAAGTGGTATTAAAGAACTGCTTAGTACAAAACAGAGCTGGAGAAATTGCTTAGCTTTGGGCTGAATTAATAATAATAATAATAATAATAATAATAACAACAACAAGTAGAAAGGGGAAAATCACGTGATTTATAACAAATAAAGTTTATGGACTAATAATATCATCTTAATTAAAAAGGTGATTATTTAGAGACCGGAGTAGAAGAAGAGAATTAGGAGCACCCGGACTTGAGGTAAGTTTCTCTGCCAATCCAAAATTTGTTTCCTCGTATTATATGCTTATTATGCATTATGTGATTAAGTGTGAATTTTGAATTATGTGTATGTGATTTTAAGGAGATATTATATATATGGTGGTTGAGAAATATAAATTATGTACTTTTTGGGTATTAAATATTTTAAATACCTTCGAGACTTTTTAGAGAAATTAAGAAGTATTTTTGAAGTATTGTTAAGCAAAGATAAAATTTACTTTTTTATAAGAAGTGAGCATCTCGGGAGTAATCCGAGGTGTCGGTTTTTCCACATCCGGATAAATGTGGAGGGTGATTAGAGCTACTACTACTAAGAAGTACAGTTTAAATTTCAAGTGAGATTTGGATCTATGATCCCTTTTAAGTAAGATTTGGATCGATGATCCCTTTTAAGTAAGATTTGGATCTATGATCCCTTTTAAGAAGAAGTTATAGTAGTAGTCCCTAATCATTCAAGAATTTTAGAATTGGGGTGGTTGGGTTCCGACCACTCGGGATGACTTACTACTCGGAGGGCTTGGAATCCCTTTTAGGGGGTGTGCACACTTAAGGTAGTCGTTTCGTTTCCAACAGAGCAGTTGTGGTACCGGCACTTGTTCGGGGTGGTCTTCCGTAACCACGGTCCACCGGGCTCTACCGAAAGGTTAAGCACCGCCCTTCTAAATTACTAGGAAGTTAGAGAAGAAGTGATTTTCTTAAGAAGTTTAAAGAGGAGAATTACTAAGAGATTTTCCAAGAGAAGTTTAAAATTTTAGCAAAGAAGTGATTTTAAGAAAAATCAAAGAGAAAAGTATTTTGTTGGAGTGCGTCATTTTTATATGATATGATATAAAAATCTATTTTTAGTCAAACCTGATTATTTTACGGGGTTGGGTAGTACTTACTTAGCTCTAAAGCTAATTTTAGTTATTTCTCGTCTCTCTCTTCTCCCTTAAATTTTATCAGGTGATGAGTTGGATGCCTATGTGGATTGATGGATTGCTCGAGCTTGAGTGCGAATTAGAAGATGTCTTAGTTAAATCTAGTCATGAAATTAACATTTACTTATTATTACATTAGTTTTTATTGTTTTACTTTGAGTTGCCTGTGCATTCGGTTAAGAGATGACCGAATGTGGCGGTAACACTCATTTCCCTTTTAGACTTCCGCTGTATTTCCTCAACTCTTTGATGAATGAATAAAGTATTTCTTTTAAATATATCAATGTTTTGGGCGGGAAATTTAGGGGTGTTACAAATACCCTTTTTGGCTCATTTGAGCAATGAGTGATGGGAAGGGCCCCCCCATGTTTTTTATGATGCCAATCATCTCAAACCATCTTCCTCCCACCTCCATCCATTTTCCACGCCTCCCAGCTCACCTTGATGAGGTATACTCGTGGGTTGGCCCCCACTTAAGTGGGAGGTCAACCCTTTGTGTCCCCGAGTGTACAATCGGTCGCGAAAGTTGTATTTTCCGGACTATTTTAATTATATTTTATTTTATCGGGTCAAATAAAATATCGCACATGCTCTCCATCATTATTAGACTTTATATTGAATATACATTCCTCAATTTTAATTTAGGAGTCTCCGAAATTCCTTTTTGGGCCGTTATCTGATAAATTACCGATACTGATATATTGGCCCCGTTTGACCAACCGGTCAAATCTATGCCACTGCCATAGCCCAATTAGGATATCCACCACCATATACATATTATCTAGGCCAATATTAATATAATATGTGGTTCCGATAGTACCGGGCGGCCCCCACTTCCGGTGTGGGCCCCACATGAATTTTACTATTCACGTAGAAGAAATGATAAAAATTTACAATCACGTAAAAATGCTTTTATTCATTTCTCATGGTTCAATACATAATTTGATAAGGTACAAATACTTGGGAGCGGTGTTACAACAATTACGCTATACAGCGACAATGCTATAGTGACAAACAATATATGGACTAATATCACAAGTATATCCCTCAGTTACATTCCTAAAGTGACCAATATTTTTATTTTACATTCCTAAAGTGACCAATATTATTATAGTGACTAACATTACAATTACAATTATATTGGTAACAATTACATTTCTCCGGTTTAGTTACATGCCCGTAGTTAGGTGCTCGTAGTTACAGTCCCATCCAGTGAAATGTTTGCTCGTCCAATGACAACTATCCGCCGCTCATCCCGCCACTCGTCCCACTGCCGCAAAGTCCTATCAGGTGATTGCCACCGCCCAGTCCCTTCCTGTAACTGCTGCTGCCGCTCATTCCGGAGACCCTGCCGCTCGATGACCCCGTTGTTTACCGGTCACTAGACACCACCATGACTTGGACACTGCCCCCGTCCCGCCGCCACGACTATGTCCTACCGGTGCCACCGGTGACCACCACCCCGACACAACCGCTGACCACCACCTCAGGCCACCACACTCCACACCCCTGCTGTCACCCCAGCCCCCAGCCAGCATCCCCTACCCCACACGGTAGTCCCCACCCCTCACAACACCCTCCACCCCCCTACTAGCCCCCAACCACCCTCCCCCAGCCCTACCACAACCGCATTGCGCCACACCCGGCCGCCCCCAAGCTGTTGTACACCACTGCTCTCACGCAACCACGAGCCCATTGCGACCAGGCCACTGTTGGCGCCGCCCGTCACCCTTAGCCTCCTTCGCTGCCAGATCTGGTAACCCTAGTTGTTGCTATCAGTAGTGTGCAACCCTAGCTCAATCGAGGACGGCGAATCCAGCAGCGGCGGTGCTATCAATGACGATTGAACCAGAGGCGGCTATCGAGGAAGAGTGAACCAGAGAAGGCTCCTATCGAAGATGATGCCTCGATCTTCGTTGCTGGTCGATTTCAGCGGCTACGGTGAAGGAGAAGACACAGCGGTGGTGATCGAAGAAGAAATGAGAAGAAAGATAAGAAATGAGATAGATGAGAGATTCGAAGTTGCTGCTTGGGGTGGAGGAGGAGGATTTGAAGGTGTTGTTTGCGATACGAAAACTGCAAGCCCACGATGAAGAATGGTTGTTGAGGATGGAGTCGGGTTTTGTTTATTTCATTGTATTTGAGTGAATTAATTATTGATTGGTCTCTTTTTTATCCTAAACTAAAAATTGTCATATTTTTGTCTATTGCAAAGCTATTAGTAATATTCTAGTCATTCTTTCTTAGTTATATACATGCGTATATGTTTAGGATTATTTTCAATTAGTTTCTTGACTGGAATTGTTTGTTTATTGTAAAAGTCTTTAAGATAGGTACACATTAGAGGACTAGCCTCCAATAAAAAAAATTAGAAGTACGTAAAACATTTTTATTATTTTATATTACATTTGATCATAGCTAATGGGTCTATTTTATACTGAAGTTTTTATGCTCTGTATAATTTTGATGTATCTTTAATATAAATTTAATTTTGGTTATTAGTTTATTGACATATAATAGTCAAATAATTCCCAAATATAATATATTTTTATAAAAAAATTATTTTCACTTTTCTACTTTTAAATTTGTTTGAAGCTACATATTAATTGTAATAGGCTAAAGGGTCAAATAGGTACATGAACTAACTTAAAGTGTTCAATTAGCCCCTTAATTAGGACGTTCTGCTCGGCCATCGCCAATTGAGGTGGTTACCGGTGGAATTTTTTGATGAACTTTTTTGAGCATCTTCTTCATTAAGTCTAGTTTACCCATACTAAATTTCAGCTAAAAATTCAACCGGGAAGGCAGTCAAATGATTTTTTGAAGATAACTGCGCAGTTAAACAACGCAGTACATTTCGGAAAATCATTTGACTGCCTTCCCAATTTAATTTTTAGATGAAATTTGATATGGGTAAACTATACTTAATTAAGAATATGCTAAAAAAATCATCAAAAAATTCTATCGGGAACCGCCCCAATTGACGACGGCCGGACAGAACCTCCTAAATAAGGGGCTAATTGAACACTTAAAGTTAGTTCATGTACCTATTTGACCCTTTAGCCATTGTAATAATTTAACTAGTGTAACACATGGGCATATATATCCTGATAATATTACTTTGGTATGGATTATGATGATAATAAATATCAGTGGAAGTTGTAAATCATTCACACATTTAGGCAACAACATTATGTAAACAAAAACAATATG